TCTCTCTCTCTCTCTCTCTCTCTCTCTCTCCACCCCTTCAGTCATCCCCCCTCCCCCCTTTAGCACTTTTCTCTCTCACACTATTTATCTCTCTTTTGATTACTTTCTCTTGACCACTTCTATCAGTTCTACTAAAAACGTACTAAACTTTTTTTTTGGGGTGGGGCTGGAAAGGGGGAGAGGGATGAAATGGTGAAATGGTATCTTGTAAGGATCATGCCTGTCTAAGAAGAGTCATTGTGTTGTCTTGTGGCCTTGGAGATACAGGTAGGTTGGGAAAGTGAAATGGAGATTGCACTTGAAAAGTACACTTCTAAATTCTTATTTTGTATACTGCCAAAGTGAAATGTAGCCATTTGTAGGCTCCAGTATTACTCAACTCTCCACTCTAAACTTTTCTTAAGGGATGGTTGGAGTTTTCCCTGGGTGGCTCCTACTTCTTGTCTTTGTCACTATTCTGTCTGTGTGTCTGTCTTACTTTTCCCTCTGCACTAAATGACAGATATATTGATGTGCTTCTCTTCACTCAGCAGACGGATGGAGAGAGCCACTAGTAGGTCCTACTTTTTTCTTTGCCTCTGTTGTCTCTGTCTGTCAGTCTTACTTGTTCCTGCCATAAATGACTGTTATTGTGTCAGTGTGCTTCTCTTTGCTGAAACACAAAACTCTCAAGTTCTTGTACTAAAGCTCAGTGCATGTGGTTAGATCCATGGAGGGTGCCACTGATAGGTCCTACTTCTTTATTTTCTGTCTTGTTGTTTCTGCCTTTCTACTTTACTTTTCTGTAGCACAAAATGACAAATACTGTGTGGATATGCTTCTACTTACTCACAATCAAACTCAATTTTTTTTCTGTGTGTCAGAGGGGCCAAGAAGAAACCATATCTGACCACCCAGCAGTTCTGTGATTTCCTCAACAAACAGCAGCGAGACCCTCGCCTCAACGAGATCCTCTACCCCAACTGCACGCTGTCCCAGGCGGACACACTTATACACCGCTACGAGAACAAGTCCGGCATGGCACAAAAAGGTAAGCACCTCGTGCACATATGTGCACATTAGTGCACGTTGGCTTGACGATCAAACGGGAGAAGGTGAACCTATGAATGTGTTTTCATGCTACTGTGACTTACTTGTTGGTACAAGGAAGACGTAATGATATGTGAAAGGTGAAAGTATGGACCTTCAGGCTGTTGTGTCACACTAAATGGTGCTCTGGGAAAACCTGACACCATTGAAGAGGTGAATGTATAAACATATCCTGTAGACTTGCATTATGATATCCAAGACTGTCTGTGATGTAATTCCGATTCACTATGGAGTGCACCGTTTGACTCTATTTGGAACCAATTGAAGGGGGCAAGGAGGGAAAGGTTGCGTGAGCGCTTGACTATGGTGAAATTGGTGTTCTGCCTCTCACTTGCGTACTCATAAGGCACACCAGTCCAGCCAAATTTTTTTTAGAGGGCAAAGAGCCGGGGCCATGACCGTGCCCAGTCTAGGATTATGTCATTATTCAAGTCTATGAGGTATCCTCATGTTGTTGTCTCACACTCAGTGTGACCTGGGGTAGATGTGACTGTGCTGTTATCTCGAGCAATGTCTACAGGTGAAAGTGAAGGGTAAGGTGAACTTGTTTCCATGGTTGTCCCTCTGTCAGACTTGTGGCTTTGGGAAGATGGTCAATGATTTCGTCCAGCGCTGTTGTTCTTCAGTATTATGTCTTTGTGTTGTGTTCAATGAAAACTGGTCAGGGTGGTTGGTGGACACTCTAGTGTGATATACTCCTTCTAATTCTTCCTGTATATTGTATATTGGTTATCCTGAGGTCATTATTGCATTGGCTTGCCATTGTCTGATCTTGAACAACCCCAGGGATGAGTTTTCGTAGTAAATAGTTAAATAGTTTGGCAGTCTTCCAGTTTGGAACATTTTGATCAGACTTGATCAACCCTCAGAAAATGACTATTAAAGAGTAGAATTACAAAAACCGATAGTTTTCAGGGAAATCTTAGGGTTGAATCTTACTTTCCCGAATCCACCAGGTCTGGATAATAGATAGTATTTGTAGAGAGCAAATCCCCGCTCAACAGCAAGGTCCATGTGCTTCACAATCTATACTATTACCCCAGCAGACTTTAGAGAATTCTGAAACAACCTCAACTTCCTGGGAAGCATACAATGCAAGCGGCCATTTATAGGCGCTAAAACACTAGCATACTGACTGACAAGATCTTTCGCTGTCTATAGCCGGGTACCCATTCCCACCTGGGTGAAGTGAGGAAAATTTATGTAAAGTGCCTTTCCCAAGGACACAACGTCGGGCCTGCAGCTCGAACCCCCGAATCCACAACCTCACAATTACGACTCGGGTAGTCGAACCACTAGGATAAAGCGTTCCAACCTGGAAGGTGGCCAATACTCTGCTCGTAGTTTTGCAGGGAGTTCAAAACAACGGAAGATTTTTTTTTCCAGAGCTCGATGAGGTTGTCCTGGTATTTTGTACTTTACACCGACTCCTCGGAAATATTCACACAAAGAAAGCAGTAATTGTATTTTTGGGTATCAAGATAGAATACTGGAAAGCTCAGAGTGATGAACGGCCTTCATTTAAAATGAAATTTCCTAGTATTTATTGCTGTCTGCTTGCAGGAAATACGTTTTCTTGTTTTGTCAGAAGCCTCATAACATGAAAATTTGTTTTGTAATTGTAAGAAGCAGTCTAAATTGTTTAGACTGTTCCTGTAGCAGTTTTTCCTGTCATCGTTTCTTTCAATCTGATCTGTTTTGTTCTTGTGTGCGTGTGGTTGAGGTTGTGGACCCTCTGATATGTGTGCTTTCTCAATCTCTCTTCGGTGTTTCTATCGTATATTTTGTTCCTGTTCAAATATTCAGGCGTCTGTGGTGTAGCAGTTAGGTCATCCACTGTTACAGAAAGAGGACATGAATTGGTTCCCAAGTCAGGAAGTTTTTTCTCGAGTGTCTCTGCTTGTCTGCTGTGATGTTGTATCCCTCTCAAGACTTGGTTTGCCCCAACAAGCAGGGTTGAAGCAGCCTGCTTCGTAAATGATTCCAGTTGTGTTACTGGGACGTAAAAACTTTACAATTACGATCACAAATATGACCGGTGTGCAGCTGACTCACCATAAACTACACCAAAAGTGTCTCTTAATGATCTCTATCGGGTTTTGTGTGTATGTCTAGCAATGTGCAGATTTATCCGACTTGAATTTTAAAAACAAGACAGTATTGAATTTTAGGCAGTTTCCTCATGTAGCAAGGCCTTGAGTTCCGACATTCTGTCATCATCAATTCTGCTGTAAGAAATTTAATTACGTGAATACCCAATGGGTGTGCACTGCAAATTAAGTCACTCATCTTTTTTTAGACAAAAAGATGCCCATAGAAATGCCGCTGGTGACATTTATGTCAATATGCTTTTATTAATTAAAGAGTGTAATGTCTTGTGTGTACATATATATATATATATATATATATATATATATATATATATATATATATATATATATAAATATATATATATACAAATATATATATATACAAAAAGTAGGAGTAAAGATTATTCTGAAGCAACTTCAATTTCAGAAGTGGAGCAAAACCACATCAACTTTTAAGGATTCTTGCAGGAAACTACCTTTTATTTATCATAGGTTCACCATTTCAGTAGGCCTACTATAATGTGTCTTCTGCTAGTCTGTTTTACAAGAAAAAGAGAGCCACTTTATTTTGCCAGTTAGAATATTGTTCATTTAGTTATAGTTGTATTTTTTTGAATGAGGATCTATGATTTTTCATCTTTTTAATTATGGTGAAAATATGTCTTTTATATATTAAAGCGTCTCACAGATATTGTGTTAACTGGCTTTTTCCCACCCTGTAATCAATCTGAAAGTAATCTGTGCTTAAAATTTCTATCGTTTTTCTAGTCTATGTGAATTGTAACACTTTTTTGGTCAAAATTTACTCTTTGAAGTGATTAAGTGTTTTTCTTTTGTTCATAAGTGTTTATATTTTTGGCTTTCAAATATATTCATTTTAAAGTTGTCTTAATTTTTCAACTATGTATCTTGCTTCTATTACCAATTTCTTGGCAGATTAAGATGGGAATTATGTTTTCTTCTCTGACACTTTTGTGGATTTTCTGGGTTGACATTTTCATATGCTAGTACATATTGAGAAAAAAGGGGAAGGATTGAAATTTCAATCCCTCATGAGACAAGAATTTTTGATCCCTTCATGAAGTCTATCAGGCAATGCTACTTAAGTGAATATGAAGAATTTCACTGTACAGATTATTTCTTTGGTAATGTTGTCAGTTCAAACCCTGCTGATAAATAAATTGGATTTATTTTAGTTTTTCAGTTTGAGCTGAGTATATAAAACCAATGAACCATTGCTTTACCAGGGAAGCCCTTAATCTTAATATTTCATGAAAGTGATGAATGGGTCATTGTTCTGTTTTACTTTATCTGTTTCATAATTATCATCTCTTAGTGTAAAAACGTCGTTTCTTCTACTCATATTTTGTTTTGGCTCATTACTGAATATTGAATCTATGGTTGCTTCATGTTTTTGTCTTTTCTCTATTTTCTATGTTTGTTTCAGAAAAAGGTAAGTGGGAGTAGGCTGTGCTTTTTATGGATTTAATAAGCACCTTGGATGATTTCCTTTTTGATTACCTCGTGTATATGCATTTATTGATGTGCCTTATAATTAAACGAAAACCTTCTTCTGTTTTTTTTCTTTCTGAAAGCTAATTCATTCATCAAGACTTTATTGTTTTCCCGCCCTCTCTCTGTGCCGGTACAATTTTTTTTTTGGTACTGCCCCTATTTGTTGTATGTTTAAAGAGTGTCTTGCAGATTTCAAAGTGATAGATAGGTTAATCTGCCCATAGCATGCCATTATGTTTGGATGCGCTGTTGAAGAGTGGAATGAAGACTATTTGTTGAAACATCCTATAGTTCAGGTCATGCATGAGACCGCTCGAGTAGAGGAATCTCTACTTAGGATTCGTTCCCCTATGTCAGCCTCTCCTCTTCGTGGTTAATGCTTGCGAAAACAACCACAAGTTATGTAGAGACGATGGAGAGAAAAGAAATGTGTGTCCATGTATTTCTTGTAGTTTGTTTTATTTTCAGAGCCTTTCCTGTTTTGTAAAGAAAGGAAAAGGCATTTTGAGGGCTTTATTTGAAAAGTGGAGCCTTTTAAAGTTAATTACGCGATTTGAGACTGGATGCAGTTGTCTATTGTTTTTTGCAAAGTTGATCTTGATTTCCCTTATATGTTCTCTTTGCTTGTTTAGACTGCCTGTACTCTTTTTTTTTGACAAATGAAAACTAGACATTCTCAGGCACCAGTCTCACTTATGGTAGTTTGAAAGTGATAGAGGTGTACGAGCAGATATTATTTAATCTTCTTAAAGTTTTTGGTTTTAAAAAATTTCTTGCTCTAGTGTTGCGTTATGGCAGGTTTATTAATCATAACGATCGCGGATGTTATACTGTTCCAAAAACTAGCTCAAAGTGGAGAAGAAAGGGGATTAAACGAGGATCATATGAAAAATGCTACTTTATAGCAATTTCTTTGAACTGCCACATGCGCCCTCTCCCTTCCTTCTTTCCTCCCTCCCTCCCTCTCTCTCTCTCTCTCTCTCTCTCTCTCTCTCTCTCTCTCACACGCACACACGCATACGCCTCTTTTCTCTATCTCCCCCCCATCCAAACATGCATGTGTTCATTAGCACACTAGTAAGCACCATAGCTCATTTGTCTTTAAAGTTTTTCGCAGCTGTCTGTATCTAGAATAGACAAAGCACAGATAGCCTACCTAAAGCCCCACCCTATCTCATTTACTCTTTTCTGCAAGCCATAAATTCTCCTCTGGTACCCTGAGTGGTATGATGGAGGACAGCAGACAGATTATTTCATTTTACTCTCAAATTCAGCATCCACCGGTTTGTTTGTTTTGTTGGGGGGGGGGGGTATTTTCTTTCTTTCTTTTTTTCTT